CGGGGCCCGATGGGGGGGGGGTCGGGGCACACTTGAGTTCCTGCACAATCACATGCGCGTCGTGCTGTGGCTGGTGAGCAGGCCGGCTTGGGTTCAACCATTATTATTAAGTGGAGAAAACTGAGTGTGTTCAGGATCTCAGGAAAAGAGCCAGACAGGAAGATGCCACCCACTGTTCATGGAAACAGCCTAACGAGATTGTGGACACTTAGGTTGCTTTGTGAATAAAGATGTACAGGTAGCATCAGAGCCACGACTTCATCCACACTACTTTGTAGGCAGGGCATTGGCGGTTACCTTCTATTAGCTGACATTATAAAAGGCAGAATTTGCAGGGAAAAAAAAGTTAAAGAGAGAAAAATCCAGTTCCCTTACTGAGAAAATTATACTTGTAAATCACAGAACTAATACTTGGGGCGAAATGTAGCTGATTAGGTAAATACATCCTGCCTGCCGTGTTAATGCCTATAAAGTAGAGCTAAGGGGAAAACCACATTAGCCTAGAAAGCCCTAATTTTAGAAGAATAGATGATCATCTCAAACTGTTTAATTGTTAATATTGTTTTGATGGGTTTTTCATCAAGGCCCCAGTTGAATAGGACTTGAGGGGAAGTGTGGAGCAATTTCCCAGGAGAGCAAAAAGACCAGGCTTTGCTGGGCCATATGTGGTTCACACCTCAGCCTAGCTACTCAAAAGGCTGAGATCTAAGGACTGTAGTTCACAGCCAGCCCAGGCAGGAAAGTCCATGGGACTCTGATCTCCACCAGACTACTCAGAAGCCAGAAGTGGTATTGTAGCTTAAGTGGTAGAGTGGTAGAGCACAAAGAGGCCTAGAGACAGTACCCAGGCCCTGAGTTCAAGCTCCTGGACAGGGGGGCAGGGAGTGGGGGTGGGGTGGGGGGGTAGGGAGATAAGGCTTAGAGGAAATAGAGTTATTTGGAGATGAGAAGTCTGATAATTGATGATAAATATGTGCAAATTTCTATCTTGGAGGCTAGAGCACACACACAAAGCAAAGTAACACACATAGAAAGTTCCTTTTGTCAGTGGATATATGACCATTCTTCTTTGATGCTCTCAGATAGGACAAATGGTTCATCAACAACAGGACTGCATGGCCTCTCAAAGACACTTCCAGGCAATACAATGTGTGCTTTTCGTGTTAATTAAATGAATAGTTACTGGGTAAGGAAACGTTTATTTTAGGGTCCCAGGTGCTGTTGTGTATGAACCTAAGAATCATGTGATGGAGTAAATGATGGTATCCTTTGTCATCCTTCTTAATCCCTTAGCTGTGAGGACCTTTGTCCCCCTGGGAAGCATGGTCCACAGTGTGAGCAGAGATGTCCTTGCCAAAATGGGGGAGTGTGTCACCATGTCACCGGAGAATGCTCTTGCCCTTCTGGCTGGATGGTAAGTTTCCCCCCTCCTGCCCTCACCCCCCGCCCCCGCTGGCCCCGCCCAGAGTCATACATTCCAAGACACTTCAGGTGAAGTAGCTGCAGTGGTCAGAGATTCCCAAACTGCAAGTACTAAGCCCTTGAAAACTAGCATCCTTCAGTGGAGAGAAGACAGAACGTGATCTTCTCCTGGTGCATTAATTGCAGTAAGGACCCTCATGTGTGCTGGCCCATGCACCTTGCCTTTCTTTTGAGGACAAAAGAAAGAAGCAAATTATCTGGTTTCCCAGATGACCAGTAGAGTTGATAGACACTGGGTGTATTTGAGAATCATTTGCATCATTGCATCTGTGGATTGCTGTTGTGCTTTGAGAACATTATTCTCCACACACAAGTGTTACGTGAAAGAAAGTTATCCAATCATGTAAGTGTGGAGACACTTTAAGGAAAACGGAGTATAGCAAATATTACAGAATGTCTCAGAACCCACTGGATCTTAATATAAGAAACTATAACTCACTGTCCTTCCCACACATAAACTAGGATTTCATAGTGCAACATAAAACACACCATGCTAAAGCATTACTAAATGGACTTCTCTAAAATCAGAAAATAACGTTGGTTCTTACCTTTCTGGCTTGCTTTGTGCATCTGTATGTATAAAAGAAGAGGTGGGAACCTCTTCACTTCAATCTACTTAAGAGAAGCTTAGTTCATCATCATCTTCTCCCTCCATGGGGTATTGGAGTTCCTGCAGAAGTTCAAGTGACAGCTTAGTAATCAGATCTGCCCAGGATTCTTCTGTTCTCTTCAGGCTTCACTTTTCCAAGGCTTTGACCTACGAATAGCCAACCCACTTTCCTTCACCTCCATGTCCTCTGATCCTCCATTCTTCTGAACACTACTTCATCATAACATTTCCCAGGCGTGTGTCAGTTCTTCCTCCTTTCCCCCCTGTAAGGAGAACTGGAGTCAGTTTCCAGTTTCCAGGACGCTTGGGAAGTAAGAGAGTGTTCAAGAGGTCAAGGGTACAATGAATATATCAGAACCCAAACGAAGATCAGAAACGGTGATTTTGTGAGAGTCTGATGCGAGAATCAAAGCATGGGCGACTCTAAAGGTAAAGGCAGAAGGAGACTTGTTTCGTTCTTGAGGATGAAAGGGAGCTGTGGAAGAAGCACTGGATGCCGTCCAGCAGTTCAGCAAAGTTAAAATCACTAAATCTAATCTTGTTATGTCCCTTGTAAAGGCTTTCTATTTCTCTTGTTTCTCTTCTACTTCCTTACTCCCTCTGCCATTTTTTGGGTGGTACTGAGGTTTGAACTCAGAGATTTGTACTTGCTAGATAGCTACTTGACCACTGAAGCCATGCTTCTCAGCTCTTATTAGCTTTAGACATTTCCTTTGACAGAATCTTGCACTTTTTAGCCTGGGAAGATCTCAGACTGAGATCTTCCTACCTATGCTTCTTGTATAGCTGGGATTGTGGGAGTATACCATTATGCCAGGTCTTCTGTTTTGTTTTTAATTATCTGAGTGAATTCTAGTACTTCTTAACTACCTCTTCCTAGTTCTTATACCGTCAACATTTGCCAGTCCTGGTCCTTGATTGGTCCTCTTCACGAGAAGTAGTTTTACTAGCGTGTCAGTGTCCAGAGAGCTCCGTACTCTGGGTGAGGAACTGTCAGTGCCTTAGGACTTCAGAGTAAGTGTCCATGAAGATGCTTCATGGTGAGGCTGAAGCTGTTTCCTGGGGTGGTTGTGACATGGGTCAATGAGTCCAGCAGGCAGACGATGCACCCCTCCACACACGGCGGGAGCCCGTTCTCCACCTCTTCCTCCCGGCTTTGGGTCTTCACAGATCTCTCTGCATGAATACTTCATGTCGCCTTTTCCTTCTGTGTGTATCTGGCTTTCAGCTTGTGTATCTTATTTTTTCAACATACTATTCATGCTATCATTTTTGGTGCTTTTTCAAAGGACAAGCACGTGTTCTTTGAATATACACACACCTGCTCACACATGTGTACACACACACATCCTTTAACGAATAGAAAGCATTCCCCTTGAAGCCACTTGTTCACATTAAGTCTTATTCATACACAGTGTCTCGACACTATCGCTGGGTTTATAACGGCCCTGTGAGACAGAACTTGCATCAGATGTGCTCACCACACACTGACCCCTGGCTAGTTGTTCCTTTAGTTGTCTTTTCACTTTACATGTAGTATATACTATGCCGTGTTGGAATGGTGAGACTAGAGCTTTTCTGCTTTCTGCTCTCCCACTCATTGCCTTGTAAACTAACCCGGGATTTTTATTTTATTTTTCATTCTCAGGGCTTAGCACTAGGCCTGGCACATTGAAGGTTTTCCATTGAGCACTAATGTGGTCCATCTTTCAAAGGCTTTTTTCAGCTCCAGGAGTCTGTGGAAGAACTTTCCCTGTTTGCAGATAGCTAGAAACCACCAGAGGAGACTTAATTAGCTCACCAACTGCCTCTGTGAGTAGCCAGTAGTTAGAGGAAATGTATTTCCTATGGTATCCAGAATAAACATTTACAAAACCATCTGCTGTTCGCTAGCCTCCAATTTCAGAGTGCTCACAGTCTGCCTTTTAGTCTTTCAAGAGAGCGGCAACAAAGCAACACATTCTGACAGTAAAAAAACAGAAAAAAAAATTACGTTATGTGGGATATGTTGTTTTCTCTAATTGTAACTCCAATAAATACCTCCAACAAACATCTCCATTACTATAACTCCAATAAGTCAGAAGCTACAATTGCAAGTTATGTAACTAAGTGAAGTAAAAAAAATAGTAGCATATTTCATTGATTTATTGATTCAGTATCTTATTCTAATCTACATAGGATCAGAAGAAATAGCATGACTTCACCAGACAAGATGGGCAACTTCTTGAGAAATGTCCAAGTTATTCTCTTGAGGTTCCTCCCCAGGAAATAAGGTTTCCTATTGATTGAGGACAGAAATGCCTATTGAACCTCTTTATGAGGTTCAAATCTCTTTATTTATTGAATCTCTTTAATTTTTCTGAAATAAATACCTAGATTGATTCCTAGGGAACGATTTCTTTTTTTCTTTTCTTTCCTTGGGGGGGTCCGGTTGTGGGGCCTGAACTCTGGGCCTGGGCCCTGTCCCTCAGCTCTTCAGCTCAAGGCTAGCGCTCTACCACTTGAGCCACAGCACCACTTCCAGCTTTTTTTCTTTTTGCTTATGTGGTACTGAGGAATCGAACCCAGGGCCTCAGGCATGCAAGGAAAGCGCTCTACCACTGACCCACCTTCCCAGCCCCTAGGGAACTATTTCTTAGAGATGGATATTGATAATTCAGGTATACAAAATTTCACTTATGTTCCACTTTAAGAAATGAAGCCAATGATACAATTTTTGCTGATTTTTTAAGGTTTAATTTTCTTGTTAAGGTGATACACAGAGGGGTTACAGTTACATTGGTAAGGTAGTGAGTATATTTCCTGTCAAACATTGTTACCCCCTCCCTAGTTTTTCTCTTACTTCCCCTCTCTCTCTCTGTTTTTTTTTTTTCTGGAACATATGGTGAAGCATTTGGAGATATCCTTTACACCAGATGTTGCTATTCATGTGAAGGATGTTCAGTAAGGATAGTTGACTTATTGTCATGTAAGACACAAGGAAGAATGCTTAGGAAGATTTATAAATTCCTTAGGTTGCCATACTCAGTAATGGTATCTTAGGCTTCAGTTTTTAATATGGACTTTTCTTATGACTGCTGATTTGCCATGTTGAATGTCTCCTAAGATTTGAGCCTACCAAGTAAATAAGTCTGTTTAAAAAGTTGTGACTTTTCTTCTAAAATGATCAACACTCTACATGTTCTAAGTTTCCCTTAATCTACAGTTTCTGCAGCCCTGTTCCCAGACACTCTGGTCCTTTCTGTTTCCTCTCTTTTCCTCCCCTTCCTTCACTCTTTCTCTGGCTAGGGGCCCATCTAATTTTCCAAGTCTCTTTGAATGCAGGGCACCGTGTGTGGTCAGCCTTGCCCTGAGGGTCGCTTTGGAAAGAACTGTTCCCAAGAATGTCAGTGCCATAATGGAGGGACATGCGATCCTGCCACAGGCCAATGTCACTGCAGTCCAGGATACACGGGGGAACGGTAAGGCATGCTCTTGTATTTCTCTGACCATTTTTAATGGTAGGAAGGGACATTTGGAAGGCCCAAGGGCGTGGTCAGGACCATGCATCTACAGGTGTAGAAGCATCTGCAAAGTCTCGGTGTGTCTGAAAGATTTTATACTCATTTGATGTATAGAAACTGAGTCCCAGACAGCAGAGGTAAGTTTGAAGATGCTAGAGAATATATCACAAGATGACTGCAGAATGTTAGACATTTGTAACCTGTGGTGAATGTATCATTCTGAAAACATTGATCACTTCAGAATACCAACTACCTTTTAAGTATTTGTGGATAGATTAACTTTCAAATGGAATGTATACTGGTACCTGTAGAAAGCACAGTTGCCTTCTTGTGAAGAATATCTATCAGTCATCATACTTTACTGTGTTGGTAGAAGAGGATCTCTGCTGGACATTGGGTAAATGGCTGTCTGTGCACATGTGGTTCTGTAACTTACTGTGTTAGAAGGTTTGTAGCTTTCTGTTAGAAGGTTCCATATTACATGTTCATCCTATTTCTTCTACTTTTTTGTATGTCCTAAAAGATAAGCTAACCAAATTCATTGAATGTGAGTATAAAACTATGTAAGAGATTTGAGGGGCATTGAGTATAATGATTATAAACAAAGATTTGGGAACCTAGGTTTAGACCAATGTGCACATAGAACTTTCCTCATTGGGCCAACTCAATTAATAATCAGACTTTCAGGGGCTGGGATTTAGCTAAGCAGAACGGCGCCCGCCCGGTGCGTGCAAGGCCCTGGGTTTGGTCCTCAGCCCTGGAAAAAAAGAAAAAGAAAAAAAAAGAATAATCCAACTTTCCTTCATGGCCGTGAGAAAAGTAAGTTAGTACATAACAGCCTAGGAATAGTCCTGAAGTGTATGTGTCTAGCTATCATCATCTTTTAATGGTTTCTATGAACTATATAAGTATCAATGATTATCCAGTTAAATCATACCTATGAACAATATAGAGTTAACTGTCATTTTCGGAGGGGTATTGGTATCAAGGCTTGAACTGTGTACTTCACATTTGTACTCAGCTTTCTTGGTGCTCTGCCACATTAGCCACACCTCCAGTCCAAATTTTGCTGGTTGATTGGCGAAGGAGTCTGTCACTCAGGTTGGCTTTAAGCTGTAATCCTCAGATCTCAGCTCCTGAGTAGCTAGGAGTACAGGCATGGGCTACCAGTGCTTGGCTCCTGTAATTACTTTTTAGCAATCACTGTGAACTAAAATTCTTTTCACAGTTTTCCATATTTTTTTGTTTCTAAAATTCTGGTTCAATTTTATTACATTCAATATGATACTCTAGGGTTTGTTTTTCCCTGCAAATTAGTCATTGTTATACTCTCATCAAGTTTGTTTCCAAGAAATGTACAATTAAAAAATTATTTTCAGCTTCTAGCTAGGTGTTTTGTGATAAAGAAAAAAAATGCTTTCAAATATTTACTTTTCTGCCATAATTTCCAACAGCATTCCAGCTTTTTTTTGGGGGGGGGGTGTCAGTCGAGGGGCCTGAAATCTGGGCGTGGGCGCTGTCCCTGAGTTCTTCAGCTCAAGGTTACCACAGCGCCACTTCCAGCTTTTTCTGCTTATGTGGTGCTGAGGAATGGAACCCAGGGCCTCATGCATGCAAGGCAAGCACTCTGCCACTGAGCCACCTTCCCAGCCCTCCTGCTTATTTTTAGTAAATACTAGAATCATTTAGTTTTGCAATCATATCATCTGCCAATAATGATAAGTCATTTCTCAATACTTATAATGACTATTTCATTTTCTTACATTATTACATTATTCTGAACCTCTGAAACAATCTTGACAAGTAGAGGTTGATACAAGAATTCCTTGGTCATAGTTTTATTGAAAATGGCATTGATATATCTTATTTTTTATTAAGGCTTTTTGTTAGTACCATCCATTTAATCTTTATATGTATATGCTGGTCGTATGGCCTGAAGTCAGGGCCTAGGTACCATTCCTGAGCTTTTTTGCTCAAGGTGAGTACTCTACCACTTCAGCCACAGTTCCACTTCTGGCTTTTCTTTATTGTTCCCTGGAGATAAGAGTTTCACAGACTTTCCAGCCTGGGCTGGCTTCGAACCACAATCTGCAGATCTCAGCCTGCTGAGCAGCTAGGTTTACAGGCCACTGACACCAGGCATCTATCCACTTAATTAAAGATGTTTCTTTGAATCTTTTACTAATATGATTATATCTGTTCCTTTAATTCTCTGATGTGTGGATTATTGGTACCATTAGTTTACGGTGTTTACGTTCTCTAATTGGGCTTCTCAGCATGTTTGGGTGACTACCAGCGGGGTTTTGTTTTGGACTGGTAGGGCTGTCACATGACCTTTAAATTGTGGTAAAATAGATACAGGTAAGAAATGTACAAGGCCAAGCTGACTCTTAAGGGATGCTTAATTTCACTAGAACTTTTAATATAAATGTAAATGTAATATACACCTAATTTATTTATATACATGTAATATATATGTAATTGTTAATATAATGTAATATAAATAGTGGATATTTGTTTCAAATGAAGAGCAACACAGAAAACAAGCACACAAGGCCAGAATGCTCAGGCTCATCTTTTTTGGAATAACAGGGCAAGGATTACTAGTTACAATTCAGGTACATTTTGGTAAAGCAAGGAAAGCACAGAGCTAGGGAAAAGGCAGGAGGCTGGGGAGGGAATTGACTTCTTGGATTATTGCTTTTGTAAGCATTCTTTTTCTGAGACGAGGAGGAGGAGGAAGAGGAGCAGGAGGAAGAGAATGGTGATGGTGATGATATATGATTCTCTGGTTCCGTTGTTATCCCCCACTGGGTTCTAGGGTTAAGACGCATGCCCACAACCCACAACACCAAGAACATGTGTCATCATGAAAAGAAACACTGAGGGGCGGAGGGGCTGTTTGTGGGGCAGAGGCCGGAGGCCATGGTGCTCCCTGCCCCTTCCCGGCCTTGGGAAGGCAGGGTGACCGGCTTGCTGTGGTGGGCAGCCAGCCAGCAGCACCAGGATGTGGGAACACAAACACGCACCCCGCAGTGGCCCAGGGTTGGGAAACAGATGACAAATAGGAGGTTTGGGGCTGTGGAACCGTCTGGAGGATGCTGTGGTGGTGGAGATGCCAAGAAGTGGAGCAGGAGTGAAGGGAGAGGGCTCCACATCTCAGAGCTCTGTGGAGACGTGAAGACAGTGGGCCTGGGGCTAATGGCGCTCACACAGAATGGCCCTGGGCCTCTGCTGGCCTTGTGGGGACACACACACACTCACACACATTCACACCCACGGCGGGGCAGATCTGCCAGTGGGGTCCAACCAATCAAGGAATTTGGCCTGCCATCATGAGCTCCATGTGATGTTGATAGTGAAGACAATGGTGGCAAAGGCAGGAGGCAAAGGCAGACATTGCAGACTAGCGCGAGGGACACAGAGCTGGTTCCATGGAGAACCCTCTCCTGGGTCCAGGATGCTGGACAAGCTGACTCCTTCACCCTGCTGTTCATTTCCCCCAGAGCAGCGGTTTCAGAGGTGGGAAAGGCAGGCAGCTGATCCAAGGAGCCCAGGTTCAACAAGGAACATCCTTCTCTCAGGCTAAATCATGATTTGGCTCAACTCACCCCAGGGAGGGGTGTGCTCAGGAGAGCAGGTGAGAGGGAGCAGCCATCAGGAGACATATAATAACCACCACAGCACTGAAACAAGACTGAGACGTTTGCTTGTCTTGGAATTGAAATGTTTTATTAATTTAGCTCTAGTGAATGGTTAGCCATTTCCCCCAGGAAATTTTAACATGCAGGACTCCAAAATTTCCGCTATTTCTATGATGGCCAGGGTTTATTGCTTTCCTTGAAGCTTTCATTTTAACCTCTTCCTTAAGGAAATCTATTTCCTCTTTTACTAATTCCTGAGACCGCTCTTCTTGTCTGTGTGGGGCCACCAAAGCAACTGATATTGCAAAATATGTGGCCAAATAGGGCAAAATATGTTGACGGGAAATAGTAGAAGTCGTACTTCATGATTACGCTTACTTTCTTCAAATGGAGGGACAAAGGGTGAACAAATGCAGCAGTGGTACTCAGTAGACACTATATTGAAAACGACACTGTATTGAAGATGATCTAGACAACTTGTGGGTGGGGATAAGAGGGAAAAACTAGGAGAGAGCAAAGGAAGGTATGACATTGTCCAAAAAGAAATGTACTCATTGTCTGATTTATAAAATGGTAACTCCTCTATCACCTTTATATTAACAGTAAAATATATATTACACTATATCCCATACATTTGTGTAATTAAATAATGTTATTAAAATATCACCTTTAAGTAGTTGTACAGGGGGTTTCAATTCATTGTATCAGTTGATCACTACCATGCATCTTGATTGTTCTCCTCTATTTCTCCCAACTTCATCCACAAAATAGTATCCTTTTAAAAAGGTGTCCATATTAGGTGTCCAAAGGTTAGGTAGATGGAAGCCATCTTCTCTTACAACATTCCCCAAAAGAAAAAGTAGAAGATGAACAAGAGGAATCAAGCTGATACTGTAGCTGCTTTAGAAAGTAAAATTTTAATGAATGAGGTTTGTACTTACATTAGAAACAAGTAGCATGTTTAATTATAGGTTAGGAAGGTAAATTTGGGCCAGAACTTGCTATCATACCTGTTGTCTTCCCAGAGAGAAGGAAGACTCTGCCAAGCTATGATCAAATATTCATGCTGTTCCCCTGTAATTTCTCTGGCTTCCAGTCAAAACCACTCGAAACGACTTTTAGTGCTGGTTTTTGTTTTTGTTTTTGTCTTGAGTAAAAATCATGCAGATAATCCAAAGCTTGACATTTCATTTGTTTTCAAAGCTATATAAGAGGAAGTGATATTATGTTACCTTGGTTGTCTTCTTTTTCTTGGATTTCAAGGAAATCCAAACCGACAGGGTGACAGTTATGTCACAGGTCCTCAGCAAGAGACAGGATAAGGTACAATTGTTGTCCTGCAATCATGCTTTCCTTATTGTCTACTTATTTAGGGAATAAAGGAGAAGCCAAGGCTTGTTGAAGTTTCCAGTTATAAATACTGAGGACCTTCATAAAGCTCCCTGGGTCTAAAAATGTAGCACTCGCAAACAGATATTTGAAAGCCAGACACTCATGGCTTACATCTGCACTCCTGGCTATTCAAAAGGCTGAGACCTGAGGATCAAAGTTGGAACCAGCCCAGGCTGCAACAAACCAAACCAAACAAACAAAACACAAACAAAACACCTAGTACAAAACAAGCAAAAGTACTATTTGCTCAGTTTCTCCAGAACTTCCCTAAAGGCTGAATGTTTTAAAGACTTTGCCTATTGATAAATGTACCTGCAGTTGTCTAGAATCTGAGGCCAGCTTTAGAGGATGTCTTTTCTTTGTCACCATTACATTCCGTCTCTATTATAGCCAGGGTTAACTGGAAAGGGATTAGAAGATTGCCAAGATCTGCCCTGTATATATAGAACAGCCGTAGCCACAAGTCGCCACACCCTGTCATTAAAAACAAAGCTTTGTGGATAGACTGTTTCTTTCCAGCAAATTTCTTTCCTGTTTCAAGTATGCTTCAAGTAGTTACCATACCTTGTTGCTGTTTGTATTATCGAGATCTGAAGAAGTGCAATGCTGACCTACATTGTGTGTGTGTGTGTGTGTGTGTGTGTGTGTGCGCGCGCGCGCGTGCTTGAACTCAGGGCTTGGTTCTGTCCCTTAGCTCTTTTGCCCAAGGCTTGCTCTCTAGGCACTTGAACCACAGCTTTGCTTCTGGCTTTTTGGTGGTTAATTGAAGATAAGAACTTCATGGACTTTCCTGCCCCTGGCTTCAAACTATGATCCTTGTATCTATCTCAGCCTTTTGAGTAGCTAAGATTACAGGCCTGAGCTACCAGTGCTGTACAGGATCTACATTTTTTTATCTGGATCTGGTGTAACTTAAGACCACTTGGAAAGTGGCCACTCAGTCAAAATGTTTCCAGTGGTGGTGAGCATGCTGATAGATGAGACCCTGTCTTTGGCCAAAAGCTCTCCTGCTGTTGTGCAGAGTCCTAACACCTTACTCCGCCCTCCCCCCACCCCGGAAGAAACTTGACTAGAACTGCTGGTACTTTCAACAAATGAGTGATAGATCCATTTTTCTTTTCTACCACAAATCCCTCCAGCAACCCAGCTTCCTGCCTTACCATCTTGTCTTACTTAGATTGTGTCCTTCCCTAAGACAAAGCTCTAATGCCATTTTAAAAATTCCCTTTAGGTAGTTGTACCTAGGAGTTGCCATTCAGCAAAGCAGTTTGTGAATACAATGCCTCGTGATCAATGTCACCCTTGTCCGCATTCGCACTCATCCCTCCCCCCCCCTCATTTTTTCTTAATTCATAGGATTTTTTTTAGGATAATTAAGTGACATTTTGAGGCCTGCTACCTTGCTCCTTGCCATTTGGCAGTTTTTCTTCACAACAGAGAGACAACATCTCACTTGCCAAAATATGTGTGTTGGAAAAGCTTCCTCCCACCCACTGGCAGGGGCTTGCCTTGCGTGGCGTGGAGGACATGCGGTTGCAGAAGCTCCGATTTCCCCCTTCTCAAGAGGACGCTACTACCTAAACGAGGAGCGGTCATTACTGTGAACTTTGAACACAGCAGAGGCATGGTTGAAACGAAAAACGAATGTCAACACGCTAGCCAAGAGAATTAAAGTTTAGCTTCAAATTCACCACATTTTTCCCCCTTTAGGAAATGGGAAGGGCATTGTTTAAACCATACCTGTTGGGAGCTGGTACTACTGTTAGGGCGATTTCTCTTCTTGTTCCGCCCCTTTTAATAGACCCTGCCTTTCCTTCCTGTCCCAAGCTTATGTTATTTATTTATTTTGGTTACTTGGCATTCACCAGGCATACTACTGTTACTATTCCTGGAGCCAGACTAATTGATCTCATTGTTTTTTTCTGCCCAGAATAGGGAAATCACAAAGTAAAGATGAAGTTCAAAAGGCCGCATCGATCTGTGTGCTTAATGAGGCCACTTTGAGTGGGTTGTTTGTTTTTCCATGGCCTTTGCTAATCTCTGCTTCCTATTTGCCAGATGCCAGGATGAGTGTCCCGTTGGCACCTATGGGGTTCACTGTGCCGAGACCTGCCGGTGTGTCAACGGGGGCAAGTGCTACCATGTGAGCGGCGCGTGCCTGTGCGAAGCAGGCTTTGCCGGAGAGCTCTGCGAGGCTCGCCTGTGTCCCGAGGGGCTCTACGGTATCAAGTGTGACAAGCGGTGTCCCTGCCACCTGGACCACACTCACAGGTGAGGGCTGGCTGCCTCTGGAAGTCACAACCTCAGTGTCCAGGAGTTGGAAGGAGCGTTTGACAAGCTGGTCCTCATCTGAGACCTTGCTAACGTAGACTTTCCTGGGCTGGCCCAGGTTCATTTTGGGACTGACAGCCTGTGTGAGGAATGCTACGATTGTTAGATGATTTTGGGTGGATATTAAGTTCTTTTATCTCTTAACAGCTGCTGGTAAAAATGTAACTTGCTAAGCTCAGTTGGGACTTTTCCCTAAGAAAAGGATCCTGGGCTGTTCCATGCTACGTAAAATGCATGGAAGGGAAGGGATGAAGCCAAATTTAGGATGTGAAAATATCATAAAACAATGCTCACTGCCATATCTTTTCCTTGACAACACATCTGTGGGACTGAAACAGGCGATAGAGAGGAAGTGAACCTGTAGAAGGTTTGTGAAAGGACTTCCCATGGCTGACACAAATGCAATACCTTGGACTCAAGACTTACAAGCGTCCTGTCGTGCAAAAAAGTCTCTAGAGGAATTTAAGAACAGGAAACCACAATCCCACCCACTCTACTGTACCTTGTCTGCTCCTGAAAATATCTTCCCACACTCTTTTCTCTTCTCTTCCTCTAGAATCAGATAAACATCACTTAGAATTCCACGTCTGTTTTCAGACTATTGGAAAACTGCTTTTGACAAAAATGTAGTGCATTATGCAACAGTTCAGATACTACCAGAGTTACTTTTTTATTTGCATTCCGCACACATGCAACTTCATTTATATTGCTGAAAGATAACTCCTGGACATGTCCCTCTCAAATGCACAGAAGTTCAGCAGAGCATGCAGTTGGTCTCTTATTCAAGTTATTGTTTGAAAAAATAAAGATAGACTTTGCTGTGTATGTATTTGATTATATTATTTGAATTGTGTTTTCTTTACTTTTGGATGATCAGACACTTGTACTATGAAAGAGTTTTATAAAACTTTATTGGAAGAGTTCCAAAGATGCACACACTATACTCAGATCAAATTAGGCTCTTTTACTATATTTCCAGTTCTTCCTCCCCTCTTCCCTCCTTTTTCAAGTAGCATTTGGTTAGTTTCATTGTGATATATATATATATATATATATATATATATATATATATATATACACACACACATATGCATACATATATGCATGTAAGTGAATGTATGTGTAATGTGTATGCACACTACATATATGTATATACACATATATAATATGCATAAATATAGTCATTACACACCTGTATCTATTCATAGATTGGTACATAGTATATAGAGATCATCCATCACCTCCATGATGTTAATCTCATTATCAATTCAGCTGCTTGCTTGAAAACCCATCAGATGCCTCCAAAGTGTTCTGAGGGCTTCCTACATCTAATTACAAATTGTGGAATACTGATTTTGGTGTCAATCAATTGGAGAACCAGTGCACACACTCCTACTTCCTGGGGGCATTGAAAATCAATGTCTCCGTCTGCCACTGTCATTTCAAATTCTCTGGACCTGGATTATCTATTTGCATAGTACATGTGTCTATACCACAAATACTATTTTTTCTAGTTAATATAAAGCAATATGTTTTTCCAAAAATCTCATTTATTTTATCGTATGTTGAGGTAACTACGTTGCCTGATCAGTTATTTGGAATCTCATGGCTTTTTTTTTTCAAATGCAGGGCTTTATTATTGTAAATTTAAATTTGTCTCCTTTTCTTTTGCACAATCTTCTTGAGCTTTTATGAGTGTTGTCTTGTATTTTAACAAATTTCTTTTACATCAAGTCTCTCTCAAAGGCTGCTAGCAGGTTTCCTTTTTCTTTGACACAAAAACAGACAAGCCCAGTTCAAGTCTGATTTTGCCCTTGCCTGAGTGTGTCTTACCCTTTCTAGGCTTCTACTTCCTCATGTGTGGAATGGGATCACATCTGCTGTTCTGGGATGCTGGAGAGGACTGCGTCCAAGGGTGCTGGTAGAAGTTTAGCAGGCGCTGGCACTATCCAGTGCCCTGTACACACTAGCTGCCAGTCTGTGCCTCCACTTCCACAGCCACCACAAAGATCACGTGGTTCTCAGTAGTTAGGGGCACTTCCTTTTAAGTCACAATGACTTTTAAAGCAGTGGGGGTATGTCTGAGGCACTCACTGGTCATTGGGCAAGTGGAGTTATCTGCCTTTTCTAAGGTTCTTCAGGAGTTACAAACTGCCCTCATTTCCCCCTTTTTAAAGGTACAGTCTGTGAATAGCCCTCCGATAAGAGGCCAGTTCGTAAATGTCTGGGTTTGACAGCAGAGTTATTGCCCCTGCTAAGGGGAGTGTTCAGCTCACTGGGGGGAGGAAAACCATCTTTAAACAGTCTTCCAGTTGTCAGCCGGGCCAGTTTGATGGTTCAGGCTTCTCTGTGGGGTGTGTTGAGCCAGCGTGCCACTGAGTGGCCTATTGTGTGGGCCGACTTCCACGTGCAGTGGAGCGCAGCTGACGTGTCCTCTTGCTAGCGAGCGACAGCTGCTCGCCTGGCTCTTCAATACAGCTGCTGTTCCAGGTAGCAACAGCTGCGCTGCTACCAGGTAGAGGAAGGGGAGAGAACACGCAGACTGACGAGGACACTGCTTTCGGAGCTCCTTGGACCTCCCACTCTTAACGGACGTGACACGTCATCAGATGGAGTTCTTTCATATTCCCCCATGAGGTCCGTGTATTGAAGTAGTGCTTTGGATTTAAGGATATTAAAACAGAATCGCAGACAAAAGGACCTGGTTGTAACAGTCCTCTTGCTAGAGCACAATGCTAACATCCTACACGTCTGCAGAACCAATCAGGTTTCCGCCAGCTAATGAAATCATGCCCAGCCTAAGAGTGAAGTTTAAATGTGTGTATGGAATCACCCACATATTTTAGTGATCATGGCTAAAACAACATTTGCCCAGGCCTCGCGTATCATGTTTACTCGAGAATGACTCGTCCCTTTCATCCGTGTCTCTCAGCTGTCACCCCATGTCTGGCGAGTGTGCCTGCAGGCCAGGCTGGTCTGGACTTTACTGTAATGAGACATGCTCTCCTGGGTTCTACGGAGAAGCGTGCCAACAGATCTGCAGCTGCCAGAACGGAGCTGACTGTGACAGCAGGACGGGACAGTGCACCTGTGCACCCGGATTCAAAGTGAGTGACTTGGGCTGTGTGGGCAGAAGCAGAGGGGTACGCTGTAGAGTGCACAAGTACCATGACTTCTATTATCTATTATAAGGTAAGAGTATGTGCTAATAGTTCACATCATTAATAAGGAGAAAAATAGAAAAGTACAAGTAGAAACATCAATAATACTGACTTTCAGATGACAACTTGGAAAGCTGATAAAACTATAAAAATATGTCTTTGTTTGTTGGCAGTACTGGGTTTGATCTGAGCCTCTTACTTCCCAGGAAGACGCTCTACTGCTTGAGCTATACCACTAGCCTTTCTGAAATGAGGTCTTGCTTTTTGCCCATGTCCAACTTCATGCTTACTACCATAGTTGGGATGATAGACAAACATTTCCACCTGTAGCTGTTGGTAAAGATGGGTTGGGATGATAGACAAACACTTCCACCTGTAGCTGTTGGTAAAGATGGGTTGGGATGATAGACAAACACTTCCACCTGTAGCTGTTGGTGAAGATGGGTTGGGATAGACAAACACTTCCACCTGTAGCTATTGGTAAAGATGGGTTGGGATGATAGACAAACACTTCTACCTGTAGCTGTTGGGGAAGATGGGATCTCACCAGCTTTTTACAGAGGCCGGTCTTGAACTAGGATCCTCCCAATCTCAGCCTCATGAGTCACTCAAAATTTAGGTGTGAGCCACCAAACCTGGCTTTTATTAATTTTTAAGATAAGACTATGTTGGAAGTATGGTATACTATAGTTTTTTCTGTTTTTTTAAAGTGGCAAAGCAAGGAGTTTAGAGAGAAGTTATATTGTTAAGGGAAATGGCAGGTTTCAGTTAGATGGCTCAAGAGCCAGGTTAAGAAGAGAGAGACAGACAGAGAGACAGATAGACAGAAAGAGTCGGAGACACAATGAAACATTTCCTGCTGCCCATGAAGAAAATGGATAGTAAAGACTCCGGTAGTCATTTAAGTAATTATTTTACTGAGTTTTTATAGGCAACAAGGAAGTTACTTTTCCATGTAGGTGAGTTCTTACTGATAACAGTTACTGTTTTAATTTCATGAAATGTGAAGACACACCACACATTATGTGTTCATTCTATAGTTAGTTACACATGGGATTTAAGTCTCCTTGAGAATCAAGACCCAGTAAATGCATGAATGCCAGCAGAACAGAATCTGGCCTGCAGTTTTAGGATTTTTTTAGCTATAAGAATATTTATTTCAAAGGCAAATGTGCTAGTCTTAATTCATTTCCTCCCTTTCTAAGGAAGCCAATACCAAACTATGAAAAACTTGGATAGTTATTTGGGAGCATATAATATAAACGAGGAGATCCTAAAGTCATAGAACGTAAGGACCCAGGGTTTTCAAATCTATTCCCAGTCCTACAGCTGAGCCCTTGTGTTGGCCTTCTTTATAGAATCCCTATGTCTAATTGTTTATGATTAAATGAAATGTCCTTCAGTCACCTTTGCAACTCAATGCTCACCACTGGATAAATTCAACCCATCATGCCTCTGGCTGAGCAATGCTTTCTTTCGTCCATTAATAATACTGCTTATTAGGCAAGGAACACTAGGAAACACTGGCACCTAGTGCACAATCTTTATTGACGTTTAGATATTCACCAACCATGATTTTATAGCTGCAATTTATTTTTATCTTTCTGAGCAAGGGTACAAGGTTTATATTTGTTTATTTTCGCTTTGCTGTGAAGACAGATCTACTGAAAGCAGTAAGCTATTTATGAGGTCCCATTTAATACTCTACCCTAAACATAGACCAGCCAATATTGTACTTGAATCTCTAAAATTTGCATAGTAGTGACACTATAGCAACTTAAAAAAATATAGAGAGTGTTAAAAATAAGAGAAGAAGTATAATTAGCATTGCCGAAATATACTTCCTTTTATTTATGGCGGGCTGATTCTAGATGACAACATAACCTGAAGCTTGCTCTCCGTGTCCTTCCAGGGAGTTGACTGTTCTACCCCGTGTCCTTTGGGAACCTATGGCATAAACTGTTCCTCTCGCTGTGGCTGTAAAAACAACGCTGTCTGCTCTCCTGTGGATGGGTCTTGTATTTGCAAGGCAGGTAAGATTAGGTGAATGCTGTCTTTTGTTTGATATTGGTCCTGTTACTGAAGTCAAACTTTCACTGGGGCTGTAGCTCCTGATGTACCAAACTTCAGTGCTGATAACAGTAAGGAAAGAGACATACTAGGTGATCTCAAATTTTGCAAATTGGAAGTCTGTGAGTCTTGCTTTGGGGGAGAGTACACAAGCAGACTTCTGTCTGTGCCCCTCAATTGACCGGCCTGGACATAAGACAAGAAACACAGCCAGGTCAGAATTTATGCGAGGCCCAGAACATGTCCATCTGTAGATGCAGCCAGGCCTTTGGCTTCACGTTCTTCACAGCTAATGGGGGCGTGGGGCAGGGCTGTGTCAAAGATAGGGCTGTTCCTTCAGACACAAGCCTTCCTCCCCTGCCATGTCAGCATCCCAGCTTCGCACTCTGAACAGAGCTCAGCATGTCCAAGTTGGGACATGGCTGCCCATTATAGGTGCCCCCCTCCCGCTCCGGGCCCCTCCTCGGGAGCCCAGGGGAGCTCCCCAGCCTTGGCATCTTGCGGGGAGGCCTCCGTTCAATTCTCATGGAGCCTGTCCCTGCCCAGAGCCGGTGCTTGCTGCACTGCTGGTGCTGGTGCTGGGGTTAGGGAAACGAGGCCCCGGGCGCCTGGGCCGGCTCACGGGCTCTGGCAATCTTGTCTTGTAGGCTGGCACGGGGTGGACTGCTCCATCCGCTGCCCCAGTGGCACCTGGGGCTTTGGCTGTAACCTGACATGCCAGTGTCTCCATGGAGGTGCGTGTGACACCCTGGACGGCACCTGCACCTGCGCCCCCGGGTGGCGCGGCGGGAAGTGCGAGCTGCCCTGCCAGGTACGCCTGCGCTGGCCAGGACTGGCTTGCTCATGTGGGGTTTCTGGATTGAAGGTGGCGGGCTGTGAGCCCAGCACCACGCACTGTCAGAACCGAGGTGGGCTTGGGTGGCTTGATCAGAATCCTCCCCATGTTTCCGTTCTCTCTGCGCTGGCTCTTTAGCCCCCCACTCGCATGTTTCGTTTCTTCTCTGCTCCCGGCGTGGTGGCTTGATCATGGCAAGGCTGCACTGGTCTAGCACTCCGCGTCTGCCTGTGAACTCTCCAGATATTTTGTTTCCGTTATCATGGAGATCCCGGGCCTTAGGGTGGGAAGTGGCTGGGGTCTGAAAGAGGAGGTGGAGGAGTCGCAGACGGTTTACTGGACGTATCTCTAGAATGCAAGAATGGCCTAAGGTTTTCCCCATACAGCACTCCATTCATTCCCTTGACCTACTTTGAAGCTGCGCCTCGTTAGAAATCTCTTACTGGAGGGCACGGGCGGGAAATGCATTCTCTAGGAACCTGCTGCTTTCCCCAGCACTTCGCCCGGGTTTCCCTCCTGTGCTCTGCACGCTTTGATCCGGTCATTCAGCACTCCTTCAGTGGCGTAAATGCTCTGCCTCTGGGCCATTGTCAGATGGCTGGATAACAATGTGGAAGGGGTGCTCGGTTTCCCTGGGGCTCCTCCTGATGAAGTATAACCTACTTCCCAAAGCAAAGAGGATTCCTGTCTGGAGCTATGCTGTACCCTCCAATCCCCCCAGGACAGAATGAAGCTAGCTTTGTTGTTCTCCTCAGACCAATGAACACATTATCTACATTTGAAGAGGGGCCTGAAGGTCATCTTCCATCTGTAAGACGGAGTCCTCCCTTCCTGCCTAAGGGTAGACTGCACTGTCATTTAAAAAAAAAAGTCAATAGGAATCAAAGAAAATATTTTTACCAGTTGTAGTTTATGACTAGGTCAGGTTTCTTTAACTACAAGGTGGATTTCTATGCATCACACTTATGCAAATCAACCTAGTGGTATAATTGGTTTCATCGTTCATATGTCCCAACCATTATATAAACTAGAGTTTTCAAACCCTCGTGTCGTGGACTACATTTTGGGGTGCTATAAGGCATGAAGAGAGGTGGTTTTAGTGCATGCTTTCCGGTGGAGGGGGAAGGGTTGGCGTTGGTCCTTTTGTCTGCCATCCTGGGGTTTCCCAGGCTCTCAGCGCAGTCTCTGACCCCATCTTCCTTGCAGGATGGTACGTATGGGCTGAACTGTGCCGAACGCTGCGACTGCAGCCACGCAGACGGCTGCCACCCCACCACGGGCCACTGCCGCTGTCTCCCCGGGTGGTCAGGTGAGAGCCGAGGGAAGTCAAGAGCGTAAGGGTTGGTCCTTGCTCCTTCGAAAAGTCTGTGCCAGTCGACATTTCAGTCAAAGAGAAAGGGCAGCAAGCTCTCCAGTGAACAGACACGTGTCCCCATGAAATGGAATCGCTAGGTTTTTAACGAAGCTGTAATTGCCAGAACGCAAGCCAGTAAGATAGGACTTGCTACAATGAACTGTGCAGGACTGCTTGGTATATATTGAGCATTTGGTGGGATGGGGGGGTGGGGGGAGGGGGGATTGAAATACACCCTAAGGACATAACTCTAGTGGGCGAGGCAAAAATATTAAACTCCAGTATTTATATGGTGAATATTCCAAGTATTCAATATTCTTTCTTGGATGTACAAGTTTTAAAACTTTACCTTTCTTACAAATATGTTTGTGTAACGACAAAGATAGAATTTCACCGTGTTTCTCACCCAGGTTGGGAATTCTTCCTTATTTATGTGGCTTTAGGATTTCTCACCCATGATGTACAGGCTTGCTTGGGCATTTAGTTCTGTCTTCAGAATCTGTAAATTATGAGCAAAAATATGGTTGTTCTTGCAAGATCACGCTGGGTTCCCACCAGCAATGTATGAGGGCTCTAGTTTTTCTTGCCCTGTCAACATATCTACCTTTTGCTTTGCAATTCCCCGTGGCTAAGGAGGTGGGATAAGTCTGAGATGGGCTGTCATGTATTTGTTTCTAGATTGAGAGCTGCCTTGGGAAACAGAACAGGCTGAAACAACAGATCCCATTTTCCGTCCACCAGAGTTGCCCACTGACACCAGAGCATCTGACTCCATAATTCCTTCTTGATTTGACAAACTTTGACTTTACAGTGTGGAATTTCACTCGTTCTTTTTGTCTCTAGAGTCCGATTACTAACTGTTAAAACTAAATCACACCAGGGAGTAAGCCAGATTTTTAGACTGCACCAGGCTTCTTGAATTTCTCAGGCTGACCAGTACTAATTTATCAATGAACACAGTTCTACATTCACCTTGCAGCAAATGCATAACCTTCCTTATAGGCAGTCTACATCATCTGGGCCATACTCTATCCAGTCTTCTCCTGACTTATGAATTCCTAGAGGGTGGGAAGTGATCTTGACTATGCCAGTCACTGCCCAAATGTCTACCAGCTTTGATTATTTAGAACCAGTCGGTGAATGAGAAAAGCAAGAGATGATTTGGCCTGAAGCCAGATGGAAAATGTGCGCTTGCATTCCACAGTCTGGGTCATGGGGTAAGACAAATGAGCCCATCTGGCCTTAGACCTATCACGCTCCTGAGGGAATGGGGTGGATTTGCCGTAATCCTCTGTCCATCTGCGACTGGTCTGCTTCTCCAAGAGGGAAGAAGCTTTGCTGCCTTGAGGTTCTTCTGCCTCTTGCTGCCCACTGTTTCACTGTGGCCTTTACTGCTCCTGAGTCAGTTCCTAGGCCAAAGACTTCATTTCTCTGGGTCTTCTGTGTAAACTCTTAGCATGTTAGCACCTGTTCACCTCTAAGCCTGCTATGAGGTTGTCCCCACGTTCACAAACATACTTGGTAAAAGCAAACATGTATAGAGCAAAAGAAACTTCCAAGAGACTCTATAATGTTTTTTCTAAAAGGAAAGAGCAAGTTTTGTGTATTATTCACACAAGATACTATTTATTGTCAATCCTGGGTCGACTCATCAGTTTTTTAAATCAATATATTTATTATGAATAGGTTCCTTGTTAGGACCTTCATAAATAAAGGTAAAGAAAGCTTTGCTTTTCATTTTGGAGCTATATTTGGGGTCAAATCATTAACATAAGTCTAGAGAGGTGAGCAATTCTACTTCCTGTCCTCTCTGTGGCTCAGGTGGCTGCACGTGTCACTGGAGAGCATCTCTTTGGCAGTAGCTTTATACCAGTGGCAAATGAGAAGAGAGAGCTCAAGCATGCATTAGTACTGGAAAAAAAATTTTTTAAAAAAGAGAGAATTAAACTGGTGGAAAAGAGACTAATGCAGCATACTGCCCTCTAGAGCACTTGGGAAAGAGACTCAAAGTGTGGTGTAATAGTGAGAAGGGGGGTGGAGAATAGAAGTGCCCAGCCAGGAATGGGATCATGAAAGGAGGAGAGCCCTGTGGCAAATTGGTAAGAAGACTCCAGCGTGTGCACTCATTCCAGGAAGAGAAGCAGGACTGCTGAGCACACCCAGCCTTCCCTGCAAGGACAGTCCTGTCCAGCTTTCCCCAGCCACCAACTGGGACCAGAATGACCAGCGAACTGCCTCTCTGGGGACCGATCTGCTCCAAGGCTCTTGTGAAAGGCAGTTGACACCTTGGTTGTCACAGTAAGGGGAGATCCATCTTCCCTTGTCCTGAGACAGAAGGGCAAAGCCGAGTCAGACCTATTCAGTTTTATAAGCTTAATTAACACCCAAGCTCCCAACTACTACAAGTTCTAAGAACTCACTCTCGGACCCCTTTGGGTGCTGAGGGGTGGGGGAATGTCTGTAGGTATCTATTTGTGGGGATTTGCAGGGATGTTAGATTAGAGCAAAGGCTCAAGTGTCTGGAGTTAGTGCAGAGAGGTGCTCATTAAAAAATAATAAAAATTCAAAAGGCCACCAAAAGACCAAAGCCCTCAGATCTTCCACTCTGTCTGCTTTTCCATTCGGATCTGGGTTAAGGCAGGTGGAGCTTTCCAGCACGTTTGTCTTACAACCTGCTCATGTAAGTATCCCTCATAAACATGACTGGTAGACACGTCTCAACTGAGTTACCTGTACGGTGGCAGATTCTTGAAAATCCATAGCATGAGGATGGAAAGGTTTGATTTAACACCCATATATTGAAGATCTCTAAGTCTTATGTCACCACATAGCTGAGGTGCTGAGTATATAAAGATAAAATATGGTATGAGCCACTTTATTCTGCAGAGTTCACATTCTACTGCAAAGATATCAATGGACATAGATTCATCATGACTAACTTTCCAATGCTCCACTATATTAGGCCTTCTCTCCATTGATCAAAGGGCCAGAAAAACAGGACACGTCTAGTTAATGCCTCCCTCCTAGACCCAGCAAGCCCAATTAGTATTAGCAAATCTTTCTTGGTTCTAATATATATTTAATAGCTTGTTATGGAAGATCAAGACATTGAGTCAAACTCATTTCCTTTTTTCCCGTTTAACACTCCAAACATGGCGAGAGTTAGTGGCACAGGAATCGAAATGATTAAGCAAGACAAGGATTGGGGGGTGGAGGGGGTGGAGGGCTGTGTCTTTGAGAGGGGGAAATAGTGACACTGGATGACGTACTTACTGTGTTCATGCAGTTACCCATGCCCAATGAATGCCGAGCACACATGGAGTCCTTTGGCATAATGCAGCAGGCATTAAATGCACGGACATTTCTTTAGAGCTGCTTAGCTGAAGTTCATCACGACCATTCAGCCATTGCCTAGCAACTTGTGAAGCCTATCAAAGAGCCGTTTGTCCTCTGTCTTGGCACAAACCGCCCCTCGCAGATCTCCTTATCAGCATTAGAACATTTATCAGGGAAAAAAAATTAATGTTTCCACTGAATCAGAGATTGCCTCAGATCTAAAACCGCCTCATTCCCATCCACCCTCCCCCTTCCCCCAAATATTTTAGGAAGTTACCTCCTCCAGGAACTGGTTTTAAACCTTTTATTAGTAAACACTCCAAAGAAAGTTATTTAGGCCATCTTATAATTCTTCTAGTGTTCTATAATCTGGGCTAACATGAAAAAAACACTGACCCTATAGTCTGTCTTCTCAAACAGAAAGAAGGCAGACATTTCTACTTCTCCTTGGAAGGGTCACACCTCATATAGGTTGGTCTTCCAAGTGTTCATGAAGACGTCAGAGAAAAACATTATTGATGTAGAACTGTGTTGATTGAGCCATTTACCAAATATATCTGGTACATACCCACTATGGGAACATGACCAGCCTCTTCCTCTTTTCCTCCTTCCCTTCCTCCCTCTTCCTCCATCCTTATCCCCATCTCTACCTCTGTTATCTCCATCTCTACCTCTGTTATCTCCATCTCTACCTCTATCTCTATCTCCCTCTCTCTTCCCCTCTACCTGTATCTTTACCTCTGTCTATATCGCTATCTCTATCATCTCTTCTGCCAGAATTAATTACTTGGGCTTGGCTGGGGCAAGGGGATTCTTCCTCTGCCATTTCTTCTATTCATCTCCTCTGCATCACGACCATCATCAGTTTAGTTCAGTGTCCTGTTATTATTATTATTTTTTTTATCATTGCTTGCCTCTGTAGTCTCAAACATCCATTTGATTTACTCCTTTCTTCTAGGCTCCGATCTTCATGTATCTCTATCCTCCTACAACCCACGAACTGAGTCAAGCCCCTTCTTCAGGATTCTTTACCTGTTTCCTTTTAACACCAGGGAGAGGTCTGAACTCCACGCTGTCCCTTCTGGGCTGTCCGTCACCAGCCACACTGCTGGCTGCCCATGGCCTCCACGGCTTGTGCTCAGCCCTGAGTTTCATCTACACCCAACACTTGCAGCCCCTGAAGGATGGCCACGGACGTCATTGGGGCTCGGCCTTGCACCCCCTGTTCCTTCAGGCGGGGGGGTCACCTTCCCTCTGCCCCAGGTCACCTCCTGCCCTGATCATGATCTCAAGACAGAGTTGAAGGCTGGGGTCTTTGATGCCCTGCATTTTCTTTCTTGAAACACTCAACTGGCTGTATTTCTTAAATACTTATAGACTTTCTTTCTTTCTTTCTTTCTTTCTTTCTTTCTTTCTTTCTTTCTTTCTTTCTTTCTTCTTTCTGCTCTTTGAGAAATATAAAAATGAAAAGGTGTCTGGCTGAACTCTAGCAAAGCTGGCAAAAAATGAGACGAGATCAATAGAAATAATTGAGAGAAAGATGGAGAGAGGGAGAGGGTTAAAACAACGTCACAGCGCTCTAAGCCGGTGCGCAGGTGGTCAGTGTGCTCCGCTGCAGGGTTGTCATTACAGCGAGGTGACTGTGGCAGCCTCGTATGGAGGAAGCACGCGCTCAGGACTCTCTCCACGGCCTCGCGGTCTCAAAATCACACAATCACACATTTATTTCTTAGGCTTTTAAAATACACTCTGTAAAAATATCGATAATCTTCAAACAAAGTAGACCTCAGCAATCATAGATTTGTCTTGCCCTTCCCTAACTTAAGATGGAAGGAAAGGTGGGGGACGGCACAGAGGGTCTGGGGACCAGGCGGGGGTGGGGGTGGGGGTTAAGAGAGAAAGAAGGGGCCAGCCGAAAGAAGGAAATCTACCACTTTTCCTTGGACATATCTGATTGATGATTAGGCATTGATATATGCAAAGAGATAACTCACTTTCACTGATGATAAAATAAAAGAACTGGGCTTGAATTTTAAAGAGGAGGTTGGTAACATTCAATAGAAAGGTTATTTTTCACAAAATGTTATTTAAAAGTAAGCTTGATTCTGCTGAACTATGTGATTGGAGACAGAGGTTGACAGGTGACCCTTAGAATTCTCAGTGGGTTTTTGGAAGGGCAGACATGGGTCAATCATGTGAACTCGGCTATCGTAAAACTCATCTCCTTGCCATTTCATAGGCCTCGTGGAACTTATATGACAGTTGCCTTGATAAAGTTGACTTTGACTGATCGTCATGCTAACCAGCTGGGTGTATCAGATACAAAATAAAGGATCACTTTATTTACCTTGCCAATCTGACCTGTGGTCATTTTTCTTAACAGGCTGTGATCGAAAGCATGCCAAGCAATGCATAAATTGTAATAACGTAGAATGGATAAAAGCAACATTTATTTTTGACCTGAAGTGTACTTCATTCCATCTTGACTAAATTTATGTATAATGTGAAGTAGTGATTTGGCAAGTAGCTGACAAACTAAACGACCTCTCAAGCCCCATCCCCCCCCCCACAAAACCATAAAAATTCATGACTAACTGCTTAACTTCCACTTCTCAGACCTGTCCCTGAGAGTCAACAGAATGACAAAGTGCCCAGGGACATCTGCACCTCCCTGAAGCAGGTATCTCCGTCTCAGCCACAGCCACAGCAGCCCTGGTTGCCAGTCAGTTAGGAACCGGAATTTGAGTAGAGAATGAAGTCTGTGGAAGGTTACCTGTGCTGATCATTACTTTGCCAGTCACAAAACCAAGTTGACAGCTTCATTCTGAAGCCGATTCCTTCTTAGCTTGTTTGGCAAATGTGCCAGTACAGTTATCTGGTTAAAAAGATCACTTGTTATTCCGTGGCTACATGGAGAGGGTAGAACTCGCAATTCCATCCCAGCTTTCCAAAACCATTCTGAAAAGTAAGGTAACATATGATGAAGATAACTGATATGTAAACATATACGGGGCCATATACAAAGAATTAATAAAGAAAAAATTAACTAAAGTATGGTATCTGCAGGGGAGGATTCCAGAGTGTAGCTTCTACTTATTTAACAAAATATACACCAAGAAGCTGGTGCATGTATCCTCAGAGAGAGGTGGTTAAGAGGAGAGGGTAGTACAAGTGAATGAGGAAAGTGAATCAGGACCTTTAAGGTACACAGGTGAACATGGAACCTGGTAACCTGATAGCTTGAGGGAAGGCATTTGTTTTTTTTTGAGGGGTGCGGTCAGTCATGGGTCTTGAACCCTGGGCCTGGGCAATGTCCCTCAGCTCTTCAGCTCAAGGCTAGCGCTCTACTACTTGAGCCACAGCACCAGTTCCAGTTTTCTGGTGGTTAACGGGAGATAAGTGTCTCATGGACTTACCTGCCAGGGTTGGCTTTCAACCTCGATCTTCAGATCTCAGCCTTGTGAATAGCTAGGATTACAGGTGTGAGCCACTGGTGCCTGGCTTATGCATTGTCTTGAACACAATTCGTTTTATTCAAAAATGAACATCTTGAATTGAGACCCCTTTGTACAACTACTTAAAAATAATAAATAAAATATTTGAAAACATAAGAAAAAAGTTATAGTGTACCCAAATGTCATATTTTGCTCCAGGGAGGACATTTGAACCCCAATCAAGTTTATAAACAGACCTAGTATCTTTTCTTCAGACAGCAGTCTGAGCTGTGGCAAAGGCCTATTGTTGACTCAAGCCGGACACAATGAGACCCTGGCACTTTCATTCTCCTATTAACAGCCTACATTCAGAGGAAAGAACACAGGGCAGGAGCCACTGGAGAAGGATTTATTCAGCAGAAATTTCTGTGTGCCAATTAGTACCATCTTTGTGATAACACAGGGTGCTCCTGGGGGAAGAGTTCAGATCACAATGACTTTTCTCCACAAATGGTCCTCCCTGCTTGGTAGTCCTGGCAGCTGGTAATGTTCTGGGAAGGGGGAGGGGGAGGGCTTGTTCTTTCCATGTTTTCATGTGGGCCTGGGCCACCCCTAATTATAACTCATTGTCTTGCCACATGAGGAGCATTTGTGAAGAACTCTGACTTAGAAAAAAGAGGTCTCTGTTGTAGTTTGAATACTCCCTTTGCCTCAGATGCAGTCTGGATTTTATATAGATTTTTGTAAGGTTAGTGGTGTTTCTTAATGTTTCCTTTAGGCATTTGGCTGTCTATTCATAACTGATTCTGAAGTTTGTCTAGTTCCAAAATCAAAGTTAAATATATACATACACTTTGCTCATAATCAATGACTTAGACAACAGCACATACAGAATGGTGGCTATAATATAATCTACCCACAGCTGTCCAATTCAAGATTAAAATTCTATGAATAACTTGAATCAGGTGCTGGTGGCTCACACCTGTAATCCTAGCTATTCAGGAGGCTAAGATCTAAGGATCACAGCCTGAAGCCAGCCTGGACAGGAAAGTCTGTGACATTCCTATATCCAATTAGTCACCAAAAAGCCAGAAGTAGATCTTCTAGCTCAAGTGATAGAGCACTAGCCTTGAGAAATTAAAAAAAAAACAAACAACAAAGCTTAAGGACAGTGCCCAGCCCCTGAGTTCAAGCCCTAAGACTGGCACCAAAAAGAAAAATCAAGAATGAATTTGGTGGTGCATTTATCTTCCTTGTGTTATCAAAATATCCTAAGATTGTACTCATCTGTTTGCTCTAAAGTAGGGTTCTCTTCACGTAAAACAATCTAATCACTTGGAATGTGCCTTATCGTTGTGGACTTTATGAAAACAAAGAATGGAAGAGGGAAGGAAATCAACAGTATGTTTGATAAAGTTTGCCTTTGATAGAATCCTTAGGCTTCCCATTACTCCCTCCTGCTCAAGAACACAAGTCCACATGGCAATGGCGTGTCTTCTTCTGGACTGCATAGAAAATAGTTGCAGGTATTATTTTCATGGGCATGTTGTATAGAAGACAGACAAGTAGATTCCAAACCTCCTACCGTCCCTGCTCACGGTTGTCAGGCCCCAGGGTGCTTTGGTCCTCATCTTTTATTTGGCATGCACAGGAGTCCCGATCTGCTGCTCTCTCAACCTGCGTACCTTGTTTCAGGCATGCACTGTGACAGCGTGTGTGCTGAGGGGCGCTGGGGTCCCAACTGCTCTCTGCCCTGCTACTGTAAAAACGGGGCTTCGTGCTCCCCCGACGATGGCATCTGTGAATGCGCTCCAGGGTTTCGAGGGACCACGTGCCAGAGAAGTAAGTGTCTCGCAAGTGAATGGTTTCAGTCTTTCCTTCTTTGGGCTCTATATGCAGAATGGGCTCTGTATGCATAAGGGTGCTCGCATCACACCCTCGTTGATAGTGATGTACTGTTGCAGCCAAGGGCAGAGGCAGTGTAATAGATTATTTGTTCTTTGCAGAATTGCCCTCAATAGCATTTCCTCAGGCCTTTACTCTTTTCAACCTCCAGGACTAAGCTAAACAGATGGGGACGGAACCATTTCTTCCCACTAATGGTTTCATTGCTCTATTGGCATGATCGTTAAGATACTCTTGATTCTTCCTCAGAGTGTGCAAAGAGTGTTCCAGAAATCCATTGACCTGTAAATATTTTATTCAGCAATTTGGCATGGGCTTTAGTTCTATTACCAGAAGTCAACATCAGCCAAACCTTGAGGCAAATCATACATTCTGCTAGCAGTCCTGAAGTCGGTGCTGTGGGTGAACAGAATTGCAGAGTTACAAATGGGGACAGGGGATATGGGTCAATGTCAGCTTGGAGTAAGGAAATGGTCTGTAACACTCCTCAAATATTTTAGTAGTGGTTACTAAGAAAGACAATCACTATTATCACATATTTATTCTAACTTTTAAAATTTCCCTTAGGAAATACCGTATTAGTATTATCACACACTATTCTATTTTTTTTAATTTTCCTTTTCCATGAAGAGCTCTATGTGGCTATTCTACACTTGAACTCTAATAAAGTCATAGAAACCACATAAATATTTAGCATCTTGCTTTCTCAATTTCTAATCACAATCATGACATTATACTGTTTGTTGAAGAAACATCTTCTGTTTTGGCTAAAGATCATGATATTACCAATAATGATTCTTAAGTTATAAAGGGTCAACAAATAGGTTGGGATTTTAAGAGTTTTATTTTCTTCACCCCTTTAGAATTTTATTCTCTTCATTTCTTGGTCCATTCAACAAAATTCATTGAGCCCGCTAGTGTCCCAACCTTAAGCTATTGAAGTAGGAGAATCAAGGATTAAGACATTCACTTGCCTTGGAGGGTTTCTGAGTTTAACGGCTTTATGTTCTTGTTAAAGATTGCCTTTCTTCCTAGGGTTGCGTTTTGTACTTGGACAATTCTCTAGCTTTGATTTCGTTGTTGTGGTGGTGGTTGAATTTTCTTTCTCTTCTGAAGCGTTCGCAAGGTGCTGGTGTGGAATGGGCACTGCGTACATCTCAGGAAGATAACTGAGAGCTTCTACTCTATTTTCAGTTTGCTCCCCTGGGTTTTACGGACATCGCTGTAGCCAGACGTGCCCGCAGTGTGTCCACAGCAGCGGCCCATGCCACCACATCACGGGCCTGTGTGACTGCCTGCCCGGCTTCACAGGGGCCCTCTGCAATGAAGGTAAGGCTCCCAAGCCCCTTGGAAGGAGAGGTGGTGAGCAGGAAGTGCCACGGTCTCTGTTCTCAGACATCCCAAAGGACACAACGTTTCATGGCTTCTGGTAGGCTGCGAGAGCTCTGAAAAACACTGGCTTCCCGTGCCAGCGAAAGCTCTTTATTGTCTGCGCTGTTATCCTCTTCAGCCTTAATTGGAAGCAGCCTCCCATGAAAAATCAATGTGAAGAAGGAGTTTGGACTCCCTGAGTGGGAAGTCCTGAAGTCAGATTTCTAGAAACGTGTTGTCTCTTGGTTTGGGATGTGTTAATGAGGTCTTTGGCTCTGTGTGTTTGTAAAAAATGAGCCCATTCCGGATTGGGAGAGGGTGGGTTGATGTCGAGTATGGACCCTGGCCACTGAGCAGCTGGGCTGGTGACCCTTAAAGTCATTTCCTGTCCTAAGATACTGAGAGTTGGGTTGTGAGTAACTGACCTCTGTTTTATTCACAGTGTGTCCCAGCGGCAGATTTGGGAAAAACTGTGCAGGAATTTGTACCTGCACCAACAATGGCACCTGTAACCCCATTGACAGATCCTGTCAGTGCTACCCGGGTTGGATCGGCAGCGACTGCTCGCAGCGTGAGTCCTCGTGGAGAGCAATGGTTCACCAGTTCTTGTTCATTTTTCTGAAGTATGAGTGTGCCCATAACACATGACCAATGATCAGATGTGTTCTAGTTTTTAAAATCCTGTCTTTCCATTAAAGTTCTATCTCTACATCACAAAGATAGCTTGGGAATAACCTACATATGTAACATTTCTTCTCATTTACTTTCAATGAGCCACCATTCGCTGATTTAAAGCAAAAATAAGCATATTTAAAAACGTGACTTTTTTCTGTTCTTTTTGTGCCAGTCCCGAAGCTTGAACTCAGGGCCTGGGCACTGTTCTGAGAGTTTGGCTCAAAGCTAATGCTCTACTACTTGAGCCAGAGCTCTACTTCTGGCTTTTTTGGTGGTGAATTGGAGATGAAAGTCTGCAGACTTTCCTGCCCAGGCTGGCTTCAAACTATGACCCTTAGATCTCAGCCTCCTGAGTAGCTAGGATTACAGGTGTGAGCCACAGGTGTTCAGAGAGAAGTGTTTCTTAAAGACAAAAAAGGGGGGCAAGCAGAGAGCCAGCCAGCCAGCCAGACACATAGATAGATAGATAGATAGATAGATAGATAGATAGATAGATAGATAGATAGATAGATAGATAGATAGATAGATAGATAGATAGATAGATAGATAGATAGATAGATAGATAGAAGATGCATCTTGGTGCTAAAGTGCTTGCCTAGCATGTGCAAGAATCTGGATTTGATCCTCAGTATTGAAAAAATAAAAGAAAGGAAGGAAAAAAGAGTGGGAGAGAGAGAAGCAGGAAAAAAGAAGGAAGGAAGAAAAGAAGGAAAAGAGGGAGAAGGACGGGGGCAGGGAGCATGATGGCATCAGTCTTTAACTCTCATACTCCAGAGGCAGTGTCAAGAAGATTGCCATTTTGAGGCCAATAAGACTCTATATAGGTGAAAAGAAAGAAGGAGGGAAAGAGAGAGAAAGGTGGAAGAAAGGGGGAAAGTAGAAAAAGAGGCAGGGAGGAGAGGGGAGAGGAAGGAAGAGGGAGAGGAGGAGGAAAAGTCTGTCTCTATCTTGTGTTTCTATGGAGAGGTGGAATGTGAATGTGAGTGTAGGCACCTGTTGGGCTCCTGCGCAGACTTGTCTAAGTGGAGCTCCACCCTGGCTCCCTTGGCTCCCTCCTGATCCCTGTCTCCACCGCATTCAGATAAGGGTCCCATGTCACCATGACAACACTCAGATTAACCAGGCCACCATTTGGTTGATGGTGTTGACTGCAAGCCATAGCTCATACTTTGAAAGAAGCTTCTAAAAGTATTCAACTTTTGACCAAGGTACATATGGGGCTAACTTAGTTTTACTCATGGTAAGTTTTCTAGCACATACTCAGTTTGTACTGGTTGCATCACACACATAGGACAAATCAGAAAATGAATATGTACTAATTTTACATGATGGACCATTTGTTATTTAATTCATACTCTAGTTGTAGTCCATCTTTAGGTATTAACAGATGAGAAATATCTATTTTTTCAGTTTCTCTCTGAATTTAATATTTTTCTGCCAAGTGCTGTTGGTTACACCTGTAATCTTAACTACTCTGGAGACTGAGATCTGAGGATTAAGACTAAAAACCAGTCTGGGCAGAAAAGTCTATGAAACTCTTATCTCCAATTAACCAGCGAAAGGCAGAAATGAGCTTTGGCTCAAGTGATAGAGTGTCAGCCTTGAGCAAAAAAAAAAAAAATCTAAAGGACAGTGCCCAGGCTCCGAGTTCAAGCTCCAGTATCAGCATAAAGAGAAGCAAAAAGATACGCCTCATTTTGGAAGTTGTTCTTGTCCCTGTTTGAGGAGGAATGTGCTAGAAGGACGGAAACAGGAACACCACTCTGAATGGGGGCAATGATCTGCTTGTTCCTATCAGCGCTGCTGTGGAGGCTGATTTATTTTGCTCTTTATTTGTTTTGCCTCTAATGGGATCACTAATTTCGCTGGTTCCCTTCTGGGCCCCGTGGCACTCTCCTCAGTGAAACAGAGACTGTGAGAAATTAAAGCGTATGTTTAAAGAGGCGGAGGTCTTTGACAACACGAATTCTTGAAGACTGTCTCTTCATATACCACTTGGGAATATAAAATCGGAGTGATCTTCATTTCCATTCTCTAATCATAACTGATATAAGAGTCTAAAGACTAATAATGCAAAGTGGTTTACTATAGAACAATACATTATGGGCATACATGTTTGACAAATACGTGATAAGTATATGAGCAGGTTGATTTGGTAAAGAGGTCCACATGTGGCCACAGATAGGCTGAGCAGGTCAGTCATTTTCACCCTAGGTCTTGTTTCTGTTGTTACGTTTTGTTTATGTTTTAGAAGTACTGTCATTTGAACCAGGGCCTAGCACTTCATAGGCAGATACTCTACCACTAAGTCACAATTCCCCAGGCCTCTCTCTGAGTCTTGCTGTACCCTTAAGAGTGAAGTTGTTCTTATAGGAAAACAACAACAACAACAAATATTTCTCTTTCTATGAATCTGTGTGACAAGAGTCACTGTTTAACTTTCACTGAACCAAAATTTCCTCATCTGTTAAATGAGGGTCTTTCTACACCTCAAATGTCAAGCATTACTTTTTTTTCTCTTGCTCTTGGGTAAAAAAAAAAAAGCACATTTATGAGAGATCCTTCTTTCATTCTTAAAACTACTTCAGATTCATTTAGTATCATTATTGCTTCATCTTTTCTATGGAGTAATCATACAGAAATTATACATAGTTCTCCTTTTAAGTAAACATGTTCTTAAAAAATAAGGCTAGAGACATGGCTCAAGTGGAAGAGGACCTGATTATAAGCCCACAGCTTTGAGTTCTAAGCTCAGTACTGTCAAAAGGAAAAAAAATCAATTGTTGATTTCTGAAGTATTAATAAGAATAAAAAGTATCTCTTGCAAATCAAATGACTTTACCCCACAGTCTCCCATTTTAATTCCACAGAATCATATCTGACTGTCTTATTGCGCTTCAGTGTGGCAAAGACGCCACATGATTTTATTTGATTGTCTCTGCTGCTTCCACTGACTAGTTTCCAAGTCAACTAAATCTGATGGGGTTAGGATAAGAACCCTGCAGCAACAATTGTGAGCTACAGCTGATTGGAAATCAAAGCCATAAATTACATGGCCTCAGGCAACTAAGTCAAATCCTCACTCCCTCTGGTTGTGTGGGGGGAACGGGGCTTGAACTCAGGGCCTTGCACTCTTGCTTAGCCTTTTGGCTCAAGGCTGATGTTCGACCACATGAGCCATACCTCCACTTCCAGTTTTGGATTTAAGAGTCTCCTGGGCTTTCCTGCCTTGGCATTCTTCGAACCTTGCTCTCCTCTCTCAGCCTTGAGTAGTTAGGATGACAGGAGTGAGCTGTCAGCATTCAGCTTCCCGTTTATCTCTGCTCAAAGGGGCCTTCTTCAGAGAGGGCATGCTTAAAGGTTACCCCATCATGCTGTCTTCCTTACCCCACTTTCTTTTTCCATACCTCTTGCCGCCATTGCTTCTTTGGTTAGCTCCCCTAAATTTCCTACTCTCCTAAATTTCCAGTGTTCGGGAGGTGGTTTGTCCTCTTCTGCCTCCTCTGGGCTAAGCGCAATGGCAGCACAGCATAGGGGTAGAACGTGTATTTAACACACGTAACTTAAACACACGGAATCTACAACCTTGAGGGATGGCTTGGTCATCTGACTCACTGATGAAGTCTATATGTAACGGTCCCTTCGCAGTCAACCCCACCTGGTGGGGTTCCCTGCCACATTCAGGCTTTCTGCCCTGGACGGAGGATTTATTGTGCTTTCTGAGTCCTGATGTACACCGCCAAGTCCGCACCTGCAAAGGGCCCCATTCGGGTGGTTGGGCCTCTCTGCTCAGTGCTGACTGGACTCTAACACACCTGTCCACGCCTGCTGTGGTTTCAGCCTGTCCACCAGCTCACTGGGGCCCGAACTGTATCCACACCTGTAACTGCCACAACGGAGCCTTCTGCAGCGCCTACGATGGGGAATGTAAATGCACTCCTGGCTGGACTGGACTCTACTGTACTCAGAGTAAGCAAGGAGCCCCCTGCAGCTTGGGAAGCTAGAACCTCATCTTGCCTGTGTGGTCTGAGCTCACCAGGGTTGCTGGAAGGGAATATTTCATCTACCCCATGGCCTCAAAACATCTACATTTCCCAAAATAGCAAAGAGCTACGGGGCTCCATGCACTCCATCTTTAGATCACTTCAGGACACCTAGGTGGAGCATAATTGTACAGGCTGTTGTGCAACTTCTCTTTTCTCCTTTAACTAGATGGTAATTACATGGATCCATTTGCCTTTCATTTATTCTAACTGCACAAAGGCGAGGATACGTGATGGACATTCCTTGTAGAGTTCATACTTGCTGTGTGCCCTTAGGAGTAGATGGAGTTCCATGTTTCTCACGCTTAGTGAGGTTCATGATCACCCACAGATGATAAACCCACAGCTCTGGGCCTCCCCCAACCCCTTGAGGGGAACTTAAGGATCTATATTTCTGGCCATTTGAGTCTCATACGATCATTTTCTTTTCTTTTTTTTCTTTTTTGCTGGTACGAGGGCTTGAACTCAGGGCCTCACAACCTTGCTCAGCTTTTTCCGCTCAAGGCTGACACTTTACCAGTTAAGTCATACCTCCACTTCCAGCTTTTTTTCGGGTTCATTAGAGATAAGAATCTCACAGACTTTTCTGCTCTGGCTGGCTTTGAACCCAGATCCTTAGATTTCAACCTCCTGAGTGAGTAGCTAGGAGTTAGAGGCGTGATTCATCCGATCTAGCTTCAAACCAATTTTTCTTCATGATAGCTTTTAACATCATGGGCAGAGGATCACAGCTAAGCATCACTGGGAATTATTTTTTTGTTCCTCTTGCTTCCATGTGATAAAGAAGACAGGAAGGCATATTCATAGTTATGAATAGTAACAAATACTCTTAAAATATGGCAATGGACTGAGGCAGGAAGATGGGTCCAACATTAGTTAATTCTTATTTAATACTGACCAGGAAATACAGTCAAGAGAATAACCCTTGAAAAACACTGGAACTTTCTGTAAAGGGGTTGGGGGTGGAGTGGGGTGGGAGGGAGGAGACGGGTAGCTATAGAACCAAGATTTGAAAGCATACAGATAATTTTAATCATTTCAGTCTAGAGAACTTGAGTCCAGAAGCCTAGTAATTGGAATGATGAATGGCAGGAATAATCCCACAGTGCACAGGCTTTAAGGAAGGCTTAATGGAAAGACACTAGCTTAGCCTCCAAGGGAACCAGTGATGGTTTCATGAACTGGGATCCGTCCTGCCTCCTGTGTGTGGGTTATACTTCCCTGCAAGAGCTCTACTGGGGGCTCCTGCGAGGCCCCACGCCAGGCTGAGATACGCACAATTAACTCAACTTCCTTTAACTTTAAACACAACTATGTCGGAGGCAGGAGCTCTGTCTCTGATTCCTCCGTCCTCCCTTCCCCTGCAGGATGTCCTCTGGGGTTTTACGGCAAGGACTGTGCTTTGATTTGCCAGTGTCAAAACGGAGCCGACTGCGACCACATTTCCGGGCAGTGCACCTGCCGCACGGGGTTCATGGGACGGCACTGTGAGCAGAGTGAGTACCCGCCTGACTTCACTTTCCTTACGCCCCTGAGTTATGAAGGCAGAAGGATCACTGCTTTTAAGTTGTGAAGCAGATGGTTAGGTACTTACCACCCTGGTTGACTTCATCTCCCAGAGATCTGCCTCCCTGGGACCCTCATAAACTGGCTTTCTTCCAGGTGTTTCCTCTGAGTAACTGCTCGGCCCTTTGGAGGGAAGAGGGGTGACTCCGAGAACAAAGATGGAATGCAGGCTTTCCATTAGAATCACGGTGGCTCTTTCTATCTCTCTTCCTTTTTGGAGCATAGGTGCCCAGAACCTTAAAAACAGCCATCACTCTGTGTTTGTGACCAGAGTGGACGTGGCCTCCAGTCAGAGGCAGGGCATGAGACGGGGAGAAGGGCTAGGGACCCAAGGCCAGCCCAGGTAGCCCAAGTGGGAACATTCTAGGCAAATGTTGCTTCTTTTCACAACTCTTCCAGTCTTTCATCTAACAGCCAATCATTTAAGTCTTAAGATTCAAGACAACATCAAATAAAAAGAAGAATTAATCTGACTCAGGGAGACTATGATCGACTGGAACAACCCATCTGGTTTTTCCATTTTTGCCTCATAAACCATACATCTGCTTGCAAGGTATTAAGAACATTAGCCTTAAACTAAGCGTGCAAGTGAGCGTACCGTTCGTTTCCTGGATGACATTCATCCAGTATTCAGGATGAACACACAAGTACTGAGAACTATGAGGGGCGCGCTCTCTTATCCTAAAGCTCTCCTAGTGAAGACAGTGAAACACGGCTCTCCACTCCCCAGAGGCTAGACTTACGGACGATGTCCCCAACTGGCATGGCTGCGGGAGTGATGGGACTGGGAAAGGGGTTGATCAGAGCAGGACTTTGGCAATAAAGCTTCCTTCCCCTTACGCCCAGTCCAATGGCATGGAGCTCTTGGTGTTTTGTGCCAAGTTCTAGCAGATCTTTAGAAAATACAGCAGGAGATCCAGGAACCAGCTTCAGACAGAGATGGGAGTTTTACCTTGCTGTTTCATTCAGTCATACAACAGACACTGAGTCACACAGTCACACGCACTGCCTTCCTTCTGTGTGTGTAAGTATTGTGTGTCTGTGTATACCTGGTTACACATGGGCCCAGAAGCCATAATGGACTCTGAGCTTTCACTCGTGTGCCAAGCAACTTGTTCAGGTCTCATTAAATAAAAACCTTTTTAAGTGCTTCCGTGATTACTCTGGACATCAGATTAAAATGTCCCTGTATCTTGGAAGACTTCTAGTGCTCACTGTCAACAGAGGCCTGTTTTTGCAGAGAACTCTGATAATACCAGCACAGTGCCCCCTGCTGCTCACTACAAAGAACACAAGTCTTTTGTAGTGGAGATGGTCAGATTTAACACAATTATGCTGTGTTCTTCAAAAATTATGCCCAGCCCTTATTACGCTACGTGAGAACCCTACCATTTTAGTCTCCAAGACTGAATCCTGTGAATCTAGAGTTTGAATCATTCTGTGGTAAATACAGTGGTTCACCTAGAGAATAAACACAATTTGCTCTCCCCCTCTTCGATTCCTCCTAGCTAATCCGCTAGAGAGGCACATGAGCCTTCAGAAAAATCTCCATGTTCTCAGGGAAGCAGCTCTAGGTTTTATTTGTCAGTCTAGTTTCCTTTCAGCCCCCAATTGTGCCCGAAGGAACCATCTCAAATTCGTCTTTGAGACAACCTGTTCGTTCATGGGAGTTCCACACACTGTACAAGCATCACCCGTTCCCTATCAAAGCTAGGATGTTGAGCGGCTCAAGTCTCTACACTGGACGTAGTCATGTCATGACTCGGAAATTGCTGTCCAGCTCTGGGATAGGCTGGGCTCTGCGTCTGTCTGCACAGGACTTTCCTGAAAGGCTCAGGGGTACACGGAAGAAGGCAGATTCCCCAAGGGCTGGTGCTAAGTTGACCTTATCTCCTTCCCCAGAGTGCCCTGCTGGGACTTATGGCTATGGCTGCCGCCAGATATGTGACTGTCTGAACAATTCCACCTGTGACCACATCACCGGGACCTGTTATTGCAGCCCTGGCTGGAAGGGGGCGCGCTGTGATCAAGGTAGGGAGTGTGGTAAATCACCACCACTGCCTCCTCCCGAGAGGGCTCCAGTGCACACAGAAAGTAACTCACAGACGGTGCCTGGAGTAGGCCTCGTTACAACTCTGCACGTAACTAGTAGAACTGGGTGTTCATTTCATGTAGATAAAGAAACTAAGACTTAGAGAAGCTGAATGGTTTCTTTAAGGTCACATAGGGAGTCACAGCCTTTGCTGCCAAGTTTCTCTTGTTCTTAAACTCATGAGCTTTCTATGGGGCCAGTGGTATTTTCAGCTTTTCTGAGGTATAGTTAGTATACAATATACTTTAGTTAAACAATTTGATTTTAAAAATTAACCATGAATCCATATTCACAAAGTTACTGCCACAATAATGACTCTTTCCATCATCTGTGTAAGTTTTCCTCAGGCCCCTTCCTGCCCCTACTACTGTTTAGGCCCCTGACAGTAACTGATTTGCTTTCTACTACTCCAGATTAATTTGCATTTGACAGAATTTTATTGAAATGGAATCACACTGTATTCCTTTTAGGTCTCATTTTATTTATTCAACATAAATATTTATAAATTGAACCATTTTTTTGTTTTGTTTCTTCCGGTCGTGGGGCTTGAACTCTGGGCCTGGGCGCTGTCCCTCAGCTCTTCAGCTCAAGGCTAGCGCTCTACCTCATGAGCCACAGCGCCACTTCCAGTTTTCTAGTGGTTCATTGGAGATAAGAGTCTCATAGAGGGCTGGGAAGGTGGCTCAGTGGTAGAGCGCTTGCCTTGCAAAGCCTGAGGCCCTGGGTTCGATTCCTCAGCACCACATAAGCAAAAAGAAAAAAGCCGGAAGTGGT